TATTGTAACTTTTCCAAAAGCTACTACGAATGGTTTACAATAAATTGCTGCCTAAGCGAAGGAAAAGCGACCCTTTTCGAATAGGCTACAGGACCAAATTTAATTTAGAACATACGGCAGTGGCGGAAATAGAAAAAAAGTCCCCTCCCCCCCACTTATTTGTTTTGGACCCCTGCCTATATATATATATATATATATATATATATATATATATATATATATATATATATATATATATATATATATATTACCCCTCGCGCGGTGCACGTGCGATAATAAAGGATAGTTTTCATGATAACATTTAATTTATATTGTGTCATTTTTACTGAGCCTTATTATTTACTTTAATATGGAAAACAATGTTTTTCTAATATTTTTACTTATTCGATAAACAAAAAAATACCATGTGTTCTCAAGCACTCGAATAAGTAAAAACATTGCCCCAAGTTATAACAAAGGATACATAGGATGACTTGAACAAAAGATATTAAGACTCCCTAACCTTCTTCCCCGTCAACAACAAACCTACATCGAAACGTCACATTCTTGCGAATCGTGTCACACATCTACGATCTTTTATTTTATAAAAATCCTTTCACAACATACTTACTCTCGTACCCTATCACGCACATCATAACATTGTCTTTATTAAGAAGTATCGATGTTGTCATTATTGTTGTGTATTGTTTTCGGCATTAGATTTTAAATTTTATTTTTACTCATCATATATGGAGTAAAGGAGACTTATTTGAATCGGGCAAAAATTCAGATTCTAGATTTATCAAAATATCGGTGTTTTACTCTTGATCGAGTCTAAAAAACTGGACTTTTGATAACTTTTTATGTAAAAATGCACTAAAAAGGAGAAAAATGATTTTTAAAAATACATGATTATTAACCAATATTTATATATTTAAAAATAAAGCGTGGGTCGCTTTCTTACTTTCTCGTATATACGAAGTAGGCCTATAGAGAAAGTCTTGTAATCGTGCAAAAAAAAAAAAATCGTGATTTTTACAAATCTCGACGTTTTACACCTCACTGATACGGAACAGCATAATTTTGCAATCTTGTCCGTATGTCTGTGTATCTGTCTGTCTGTCTGTCTGTGTGTTTGTGTGTCCATGTGTAAACACGATAACTTGAGTACCGTTACAGCTAGGTTAATGAAATTTCATTTATAAGTATTTTATTAAAATCGTAGATCCGTGTCAACTTTTGAGCGATTTCCGATAACCGGAAGTGGTACTTTTCCTACTTTGAATTTTTCAAAAGCCTATAACTTGAGTACTATTTCAGATAGATAAATGAAATTTCACATGTAAGTAAAAGATCTAATTCTCTACCTTCTGTCAAATTATGAGTAATTTCCATTGACCGGAAGTCGTAATTTATGCTACTTCCGATTTCTCAAAAAACTAATGTAAATTTTTAAAGCACTAATAATATTGCGCACTATTATGCACTTTTTTATTTGGCGTTCACTTGGTGTGCAATTCTTTTGTGTACGAGATTTTATTCTATTTTTAAAACTTTTAAGTATTTAAAATGGATTAAAAATCATGTCTATAGCCCGAGTTCCCATCCCCTGTTATTTTATATAAGAGCATCGAGAAAGTTTAGGGGAGATCACTCACTATTTATTAATTTCTAGTAAAGGCATTGAATACATAAAATATCTAAGCACGCATTATTTTTAGTTTATTTATATAGTAGTTCGTAATTATATATTTAAAAAGAAAATCATTCATTATTAATTTCATTCAAACCAGTTTAGCTTTTAGTCAGAGTTTTAGGTTATGTTTATGATTACATTTAGATTTAGTTTTTTTTAGTCATGCCTTAAGTTGGATATAAATAAGTTTATATAACATTGCATTTTATTTTTTAAAATTTCGTATAGGTTTGCTATAGAATTGAGTAAATTATAATTTTACACTAATGGTGAGCACATTCATTCAAAATATAAAGATGTTCAATAGTTCTTATTGATATCTAACATTGCGTTTATGGCTAAAGATGTGACCTGATGCTTATTATTTTAAAAAATTCTTACATATAACAATTCATTCTCTTAAGCGTTACTTTCCGATTCACAATACCTTTGGTGTAGTAAATAAGATGTACTGTACATACAAAATTGAAAATCAATATTACCTGCAAGTTCTTGCCCTGTGCACTGACCAGTTTCCTGTTTCTCAAAACGTTTTACTAATGAAATACAGGCTCACAACTTTATCCTTTGTGCTGTTTATCAGACTGTTTGCACATGTTACGCGGCCTTTTTCAAATTTAACCTTCTTCGCTAAAGTAATTTTGGGTAACATATGTATGTTATATTTTGAAAAAAAGTGGGACACGTTCTATTGAAATTGTGGCGCGGTGGTAAGACTAACTTGCTTGGGTGGTTTTTAAATTCAGTGTCAAGTTATTTATAGATATGTAACACAGGGTTAACAAAAAAGAGAATCCTTTTTGTATCTAGTTTATCTATTTTTATGTTTGTTTGGCAATCGAAATTTTACCAAGATGGTGCATTTCAGCCTTGATTATGATCTGCAGTATTATTTTCAAGAAATTTGATTTTAAATTTGTTTAGTAATTTATAGAGCAGAACATTGGCGTAGCCAGGATTGTCTCATATATATATATATATATATATATATATATATATATATATATATATATATATATATATATATATATATATATATATGTATGTATATATATATATTAGCCATCGGCACCCGTTACACGGGAATTCTGGTGACTGTTAGCTCTCTTCTCTTTACATATAGGCTACCCGGTTTTTCTTTTAGATATTTATCTCCGGGTAGGGATTTAAAACTGTCCGGGGGAGCGTGTGGGGAGTGTGTGTATGTGCACGTGGGGGGAGGGGATAGGGGTAGCAGATACTGGGTTTTCTGTTCTTTTATGAAAGGGGAAGAAACGGTAGAGATGCCTGTAGAAATTGTATACATCTACGGAAAGTGAGTAATATCATGAATTGTAATTCAGCTTTTTAAAAAAGTCATAATCCAAAAATTAAAATGAACCGGGAGATCTCCCCTAAACTTTCTCGAAAATTCTTATATAACTCGGAATATAGACATGATTTTTAATTACTTAAACTTTTAAAAATATAATAGAATCTCGTAGAAAAAAGAATTACGCACCAAGCGAACGCCAAAACAAAATGTGCATAATAGTGCGCAATATTATTAGTACTTTTTAAATTTACATGCATTTTTTGAGAAATCGGAAATAGCGTAAATTAGCACTTCCCGTCCAACGGAAATTATTCAAAATTTGACAGAACGTAGAGAATTAGATCGTTTACTTACTTGTGAAATTTCATTTATCTATCTGAAATAGTACTCAAGTTATAGGCTTTTTAAAAATTCAAAGTAGAAAAAGTACCACTTCCGGTTATCGGAAATCGTTCAAAAGTTGATATGGATCTCTGATTTTAATAAAATACTTATATATGAAATTTCATCAACCTAGCTGTAACGGTACTCAAGTAATCGTGTTTACACGCAGACACACAGACACACAGACATACGGACAATGTTGCAAAATTATGTTTTTCCGTATCAGTGAGGTGTAAAACGTCGAGATTTGTAAAAATCTCCGTCGAGATTTGTAAAAATCTCGATATTTTTTTTTGTCAAAATCTCGATATTTTTTTTTGCACGATTACAATACTTTCTCTATACTTCGTATATACGAGAAAGTAAAAATCAAGGAAACAATTGTTTACAGATTTTATTTTGAATCGTCTACTTCGTCTGTGTTGTGTATTGACGTGCAATTATGAAAGACTCGATGTGTAGCAAAAACACACTGAGCAGCTAACTAGCACCCAACTCCGTCGTATGGATTTTCCCGATAACTACGCCAACCCCACAGGCTAAACTGATCCACGCTGTTCTTATTTTATATTGCTCGCGTGACATTCTGGCGCGCGGGAGCGTAATAACTTTCAATTGTTTGCGGAATGATCCAAGTGTAGATTAAATCTGTGTAGATTTGGATTACTTGATGTAGTCGTGATGAGCCTGGTACAGTCTCAGCAAGTCATTACGTTATTTTGTCATATCGACTAAAAATTAAAAATACGGTAAAGATGCGTGAAGAGAGCTTGAATAAATGACAAAATAGACAGTGCAGCATCGGTCACTTGGGTGCCTGCTGGGTAAATCAAGGGCGTCTATCACCACCCACTGCTCTAACTTCTGAACAAACTGTCCTTTCTTTAATTCAAATTAAATAATTTCTTTTTTTTTAACTTGAACAGAAAAAATGAGTTATAATAATTTTTAAAATTTAAAATACACAGTAATAAAGTAGCTATCTTTTGGTCAGACATCTGTTATTTTTAAAGTTATCAAATCAACTGTCTTTTTGTGGCGTTTTTAGACCACACCCCCCCCCCCCCCCTCTCCACCGCCCCTGCCTCACTTTATTAGTTGACTATTGTCGATGCGCGTTGGAGATAGCAGGCTCTGTGTTTGAACTGTAGCTCCATCCTTCTTGTTTAAATGGCGGCCAGTGACTTACGACAAGTGGTTTTTGGCTAGTGGGAGATAGTGTGGTAAACTCTATGCCCAGCCGCTTTATTTTTCCTATTTTTACTCAGTACATATCGGCACTGGTTTGAACCAGGGATGTTCACAGATTCGAGGCCTGGATCCGAACTCGAGACTTCGGGGTTAACAGTCGTATGCTCTACAGTCCGACCACGCAGCCACATGTATTATATGTGTCAAACCTGGCATTAGTTTATGAGCTCACCAAAGCTATGAAAATACAATGTAGAAAAATGTGTGTTTAAACAATTTTATTTAAAGTGGTGGTCTTATTCTAATGTAAAGTCCTCCGTGAGAAGGTTTACAGTAAAAGAGCGATGCTAGAATAGGTTCGGGAGATAGAACAATTATAGAGTTAGATCTATACTACCCGGGATGTTCTGTCGCGAAGTTTCTCCGTCGTTGCTGCTGAGATAGGTAGCATTTGATCATGTTGGGCAGGTGAGTGGTAGATGTTTGTGTTAAAATGTTAGGTAGGTGAGTGATATATGTTTGTGTTAAAATGTTAGGTAGGTGAGTGATAGATGTTTGTGTTAAAATGTTAGGTAGGTGAGTGATAGATGTTTGTGTTAAAATGTTAGGTAGGTGAGTGGTAGATGTTTGTGTTAAAATGTTAGGTAGGTGAGTGATAGATGTTTGTGTTAAAATGTTAGGTAGGTGAGTGGTAGATGTTTGTGTTAAAATGTTAGGTAGTTGAGTGATAGATGTTTTTTGTTAAAATGTTAGGTAGGTGAGTGATAGATGTTTGTGTTAAAATGTTAGGTTAGTGAGTGATAGATGTTTGTGTTAAAATGTTAGGTAGGTGAGTGGTAGATGTTTGTGTTAAAATGTTAGGTAGTTGAGTGATAGATGTTTTTTGTTAAAATGTTAGGTAGGTGAGTGATAAATGTTTGTGTTAAAATGTTAGGTTGGTGAGTGATAGATGTTTGTGTTAAAATGTTAGGTAGGTGAGTGGTAGATGTTTGTGTTAAAATGTAAGGTAGGTGAGTGGTAGATGTTTGTGTTAAAATGTTAGGTAGGTGAGTGGTAGATGTTTGCGTTAAAATGTTAGGTGAGTGATAGATGTTTGTGTTAAAATGTTAGGTAGGTGCGTAATAGAAGTGTGTGTTAAAATGTTAGGTAGGTGAGTGATAGATGTTTGTGTTAAAATGTTAGGTAGGTGAGTGGTAGATGTTTGTGTTAAAATGTTAGGTAGGTGAGTGATAGATGTTAGTGTTAAAATGTTAGGTAGGTGAGTGATAGATGTTTGTGTTAAAATGTTAGGTAGGTGCGTAATAGAAGTGTGTGTTAAAATGTTAGGTAGGTGAGTGATAGATGTTTGTGTTAAAATGTTAGGTAGGTGAGTGGTAGATGTTTGTGTTAAAATGTTAGGTAGGTGAGTGATAGATGTTAGTGTTAAAATGTTAGGTAGGTGAGTGATAGATGTTTGTGTTAAAATGTTAGGTTGGTGAGTGATAGATGTTTGTGTTAAAATGTTAGGTTAGTGGGTGATTGATGTTTGTGTTAAAATGTTAGGTAGGTGAGTGGTAGATGTTTGTGTTAAAATGTTAGGTAGTTGAGTGATAGATGTTTTTTGTTAAAATGTTAGGTAGGTGAGTGATAGATGTTTGTGTTAAAATGTTAGGTTAGTGAGTGATAGATGTTTGTGTTAAAATGTTAGGTAGGTGAGTGGTAGATGTTTGTGTTAAAATGTTAGGTAGGTGAGTGGTAGATGTTTGTGTTAAAATGTTAGGTAGTTGAGTGATAGATGTTTTTTGTTAAAATGTTAGGTAGGTGAGTGATAAATGTTTGTGTAAAAATGTTAGGTTGGTGAGTGATAGATGTTTGTGTTAAAATGTTAGGTTGGTGAGTGATAGATGTTAGTGTTAAAATGTTAGGTTGGTGACTGATAGATGTTTGTGTTAAAATGTTAGGTTGGTGAGTGATAGATGTTTGTGTGTGTTAAAATGTTAGGTAGTTGAGTGGTAGATGTTTGTGTGTTAAAATGTTAGGTAGGTGAGTGGTAGATATTTGTGTTACAATTTTAGGTAGGTGAGTGATAGATGTTTGTGTAAAAATGTTAGGTAGGTGAGTGGTAGATGTTTGTGTTAAAATGTTAGGTAGGTGAGTGATAGATGTTTGTGTTAAAATGTTAGGTAGGTGAGTGATAGATGTTTGTGTTAAAATGTTAGGTAGGTGAGTGGTAGATGTTTGTGTTAAAATGTTAGGTAGGTGAGTGATAGATGTTTGTGTTAAAATGTGAGGTAGGTGAGTGATAGATGTTTGTGTTAAAATGTTAGGTAGGTGAGTGATAGATGTTTGTGTTAAAATGTTAGGTAGGTGAGTGGTAGATGTTTGTGTTAAAATGTTAGGTAGGTGAGTGGTAGATGTTTGTGTTAAAATGTTAGGTAGGTGAGTGATAGATGTTTGTTTTAAAATGTGAGGTAGGTGAGTGATAGATGTTTGTGTTAAAATGTTAGGTAGGTGAGTTATAGATGTTTTTGTTAAAATGTTAGGTAGGTGAGTGATAAATGTTTGTGTTAAAATATTAGGTTGGTGAGTGATAGATGTTTGTGTTAAAATGTTATGTAGGTGTGTGGTAGATATTTGTGTTAAAATGTTAGGTAGGTGTGTGGTAGATGTTTGTGTTAAAATGTTAGGTAGGTGAGTTATAGATGTTTGTGTTAAAATGTTAGGTAGGTGAGTGATAAATGTTTGTGTTAAAATGTTAGGTGAGTGATAGATGTTTGTGTTAAAATGTTAGGTAGGTGAGTGGTAGATGTTTGTGTTAAAATGTTAGGTAGGTGAGTGGTAGATGTTTGTGTTAAAATGTTAGGTAGGTGAGTGATAGATGTTTGTGTTAAAATGTTAGGTAGGTGAGTGATAAATGTTTGTGTTAAAATGTTAGGTAGGTGAGTGGTAGATGTTTGTGTTAAAATGTTAGGTAGGTGAGTTAAAGATGTTTGTGTTAAAATGTTATGTAGGTGTTTGGTAGATTTTTGTGGTAAAATGTTAGGCAGGTGAGTGGTAGATGTTTGTGTTAAAATGTTAGGTAGGTGAGTGGTAGATGTTTGTGTTAAAATGTTAGGTAGGTGAGTGATAGATGTTTGTGTTAAAATGTTAGGTAGGTGAGTGGTAGATGTTTGTGTTAAAATGTTAGGTAGGTGAGTGGTAGATGTTTGTGTTAAAATGTTAGGTAGGTGAGTGGTAGATGTTTGTGTTAAAATGTTAGGTAGGTGAGTGATAGATGTTTGTGTTAAAATGTTAGGTAGGTGAGTGGTAGATGTTTGTGTTAAAATGTTAGGTAGGTGAGTGATAGATGTTTGTGTTAAAATGTTATGTAGGTGTTTGGTAGATTTTTGTGGTAAAATGTTAGGCAGGTGAGTGGTAGATGTTTGTGTTAAAATGTTAGGTAGGGGAGCTTAAAGCTTGCATTAGTTAATGTTACTCAGTCGAGACTTAGAAAGTTAGGCTGTTAACGCATGACTTATAGTACAGTTGTTTTCAAATTTTTAGCAGGCTTTTAAAAAGTTCGTTAAGTTTGGTAATCTGTTAAGTTTTTAGCAAAATGAGCTTTATGTTTTGAAAAGGTTATTAGGAATAAGGTTGTGTTACTTTAGTAGACAGGTAAGTTTCTGCAAAGTTTCGTTACTGTATTTGAAGTCTATTTTGGGGACAGTTATGTCAAGATTTAAATGGTGATTTAGAAAATTTTATGGATATATTGAACGGATTTATATAACCTGTTCCGGATAAAGTTGTTTCTAATTATGTGTATCGTTGTTCCCATATATGAAAACATCGACTGATTTTTTAACTCAACACAGTACTCAATATTTTGTTAAATACTCCTCAATAAGAATTTTATTAAACTAATCTGTCTAGATGGTTTCTTTGTATTGGTACAAAAACATGCGCTTATCAATATATGTTCTTCAATGCGTGATAGGTGTAATCAATACAAACAATACGAGTAAACTAAAAATAAATATTGTCTTTCTTTCTTTATTAACCCTAAACCTTGAGATTTTATTGCATTACTTACTTAATGTAGAGTTTATTAATTAAATCACAAAATATGATTTACACTAGTTACTAATAGCGCTTTGTAAGTAATTAGTCAAAGATATACATATAATTTAAACTTGTGGAACATAAATTGAAGACCTCAGTGCTAAAAGTACTTACGTCACAAAATACCCATTTTAAGATAATGGGGTTTGAAAATTCAAACTGACCCTGAAATCAGGCAATAAAGATAAAACCACTTTTATTGATTTGTAATGAATCTGTATGGGCAAATTTAGCTGAAAAGCCATGAAATAGTTTGAAATAATGACTTTATTGTTTTTTTACTTAAGTACATTTTGTCCAAATTGAGCAGTTAGGTACTTTTTGCACCAAAATTCAGAACTAGACATTATTAAGAAAATATTTTTTTAAATTGATTTGAAAGCAATCAGTTGTACTTTTTACAGGATGAGGTTGGTAACACCATTTTTTTATAGTCTTTAGTAAGTTTTATAATAAATCTTCACAAAACAACAAAATAAATCAGTTTACCGAGCTTACCGACTACTGTTTTGTTTGGTTATTTTGTACTGTGTGTTTTTTTAACTTGGCAATAAAAAGTAAACAAAAATAATCAAAAATAAAATTAATGTATTTTTGTTTACAGACGATGTTACACAGATCTTTGCAAAATTGGCTTTGCGCGATGGCTGCTCCTGTGTATCGTGTTCTTTGGGTGTGCCCTCCTCTTTCTCTCCCTGGCCTCTAGCCCCAGGCTAGCCAACTCTAAGGACATCCGGTCACTGGCCAGACTCCGGCTAGCCGGCAACTCGTCAGACGCCGGATCATCCGGGTGGGATATCACGCACGTCCAGAGCCTGTTCTTCCACACGGAAGAGCGACCTTTCCCGAAATTAGCCAATGAAGCGCCGAAAAAAATTAACGTATGTCGACATAGAGAATTTACAGACTTGGATTCAGATCCTACTCTGTCTGCCGTGTTGGATAAATTCTACGCTAAGTTGAGTTCACGTCATAAAAAAGTTATCAACGCGCATGATTTTAAATACATCCACAACGTGCCGAACGCCTGCGTGGGGAGAAAGATTGAGCTGCTAATCGGAGTCCCTACACGGACGAATAGCTTCGACGCTCGGCAGTCGATTCGAGAATCGTGGGGACAGTACGCTAAGGAGCCGCCATACAACGCTGTCGTGTTGTTTTTTCTCGGATCTCAGAAAAATCCAACAGAGCAGGAAAAGGTGGACGCCGAGGCTATCAAATACGGGGACATTGTGCAGGAAGATTTTGAGGACACTTATAGGAACTTGAGCATCAAGACGGTCGCGCTGATGAAGTGGGTGAGTCTCTACTGTCCCGACTCCACCTTCACGCTGAAAGCAGACGACGACATGTACATCAACATGCCGCGTCTGCTGGCCAAGCTACAGCAACAACACGAACGTGGACCAGTGTTTATCTTAGGCGCCCTCCACCACAACACCTTCCCGTTTAGAGACCAGAACAACAAATGGGGCGTCACGAAAGAAGAATACCCTGGTAAAATCTACCCTAACTACGTTTCCGGCACAGCGTACGCCATGACTACCAGCGCTGCCATGAGACTGTATATCGAGTCTCTGTACGTCAAGATCTTGTTCCTGGAAGACGTGTACCTGACGGGGTTAGTCGCAGACCAGGCAGGGGTACCGAGGGTGGCAGACGACGATTTCAGCTGGGCCAAGTACGAGCCAGACGGCTGTAAGTTCAGAGACAAGATCAGCGGACACAAGAACTCCCCAGAAGAAATCAGGAAGATCCACAAGGAACTCTACGACCCCAATCTTAGGTGCATCGAAAGTAAAAAATAAATTAAAACTTTAATATTTTAACGACTGTGTAATGAGTCAGTGTAACGATAATATAACATGATTACGATTATTCATAAGAACTACATATCTACCTTTAAATGGTGCTTTAGTTGTCTCACATTCATTTGGATTTATTGGGAGAATTCTTTTCATATACAAATTTTGTGATTAATCCATGTGATAATTAATTGAACTAATTTAATCTTTGATCATAACAATATTTCTAATCAGGTTGTTTATAAAATAACGTCAATTTTCGTCAGCAAATTGACTTGATCAGTACTGTAATTTGGTGCATCTTAGTGGATGGAACCAGAGAGGAAAAAAAAAGGAACATATGCTTCATCAAAAAACTTGTATCAACATTGTACCCTGATGTTTGTTTCCTCTGTGTCTGTTCCAGCCATGCTTTGACCCGTCTTGATTTAAATATCACGTGACTGCTCCACACATGTGTCGCAATGTCCAGAGTACAAACAATACGTGTACACACAATACGTGTACCGTGTTGTGTACATATACGTCCAGATTCATTCTCTAGCGCCGGGGATTTGGGTGAACAAATCAACACGCCAAATAAAAAAAATACTCAAATATTATTCACATATTTTTACAAAAACACACTTCACCAAAGCAATATATTTTTCAAATAAACAAACATCGCAATAGGACAACCAGTGTTGTATTGTTAAAAACAAATATAATGCAAGCAATGCCGCAATGCTAATTAATGTGTTTTAAAATGCAATTAATATTGTTAAGCCTGCCATTAAGGTTTGCAACAAATTTAAAATTATAATTCAATATTCTGCTAATCAAAAGTAAATAAATAAATGTTTTTTAAAATTGTTTTTGTTGCATTTTTTTCATTAAATAACTATTTGTATATTAATTTGAAGGCATATTAAAAAAAAAATAAAAAAAAAACAAACAATTCACGTGATATATGTAAAAATATTTGCTAACGTATTTGTATGAATGACCTTAAAGTTAAGATTAAAGTGAAACAAAATATTTAACAATAACTTATCAACTTACACAAAAGTGGTATTTGAAGCAAAATTATGATGTTCAGCCAAAAATTTTCCACATGCAGTATTTATAAACATAAATTTCCTAAAGCACTTCTTATTCTTCGTTCTTAATTGTATTATTGGAAGGGATTTCCTCCAACATAATATTAAATATTACGTTTCAAAATACTATGTGCCATACGACATATGGCCAGTTATCCCTTATTTCAGTCTGATATCTTTCTTGATTTGCTTCCATACCTTTATCAATATAACAAATTGCAACGTAGCATTATTATGTTGTAACTGTTATATTATAACTGTTATGCTATAACTGTTATTATAACTGTTATGTTATAAACTGTTATGATATATGCCATATTTCACTCTAACCATTCCTGAGTTTGTCACCTAGTTCTGACCAATGATACGACGTCATCAACACAGACAAATGACTCGACAGGATTACATCGGTTCATTACATTGTTTATTGCACTCTATAGATACGGAGGAAGTCTATAACAACCTGTACTAAGACTTGACTACATCCACGGCCTCACCCTCACACAACAAGGCGTACACTACGCTAACCTTCTTCCCCGGCAACAACGAACCTACACTAAAACGTCACATTCTTGCGTACCTCACACTGTCCCGATCTTTTAATTATAAAAAAAATCCTTTCACAACACACATACTCTCGTACCCTTTCACACACATCATAACACTCTCCTAGATGGGTTGCTGTCCACAGCTTCCTAGCCTCATCTGCACGGGTGATCGAACTTAAGATTTTTCGGTTTAGAAGCTATAAGCTTTGACTGCCCGACCATGCCGACTCCTCCCCATAGCAATCAATCATAAGTTATGGAACCAACATTGTAACTTAGTTGTAATAAAAGAAAAGTTGTGATCACGTGACCCCCGTATTCTCTTGTAGCGGGGTTTTGAAAAAAAAACAAAAAATTAGAAATTTTAAAACGGAGAATAATGTATTATACAATCTGCATACGAATGGGGGTCTTTAAGCTAAAAGTTTATTGAATAACTTAGATGGCAAATATAATCTTATAAAAAAAAATTGTGTAGACTACACCTTTATTTTACCAAACATCTTTGCCAGAAACAAATAAAAAAATATTCTATTACAAATCAAGAAAAGTTAAAGGTTAACGTGTGTATTTATCTCCTGTGATGTTAACATTATCTCATTCCTTTAGAAATGTTAATGCTTTACAACAAAATGTCAAACACGCCTGACACATGAAATTGTCACGCTGAAAGAACAATTAAATTAAAATATCAAGTGAAAACGACACTGCCATCAAAATGACTCAGAATATAAAACCAAATTGACACATTCATCTCTTATATGACCTATTACAACAGCACGTTTCCGACTTTGATTGCTTTCAAAGCGCTACTACATATGGGGTCATCCATAAATGACGTCACACTCGTAGGGGGGAGGGGGGGGGGGCGTAATTTTGTGACGATGAGTGATGAGTGATGAGGGGGGGGGGGGGGGGGTTCAGATGTTGCGACGTCACATTTTTGCATTATAAAAAAGCAAAGTTAGAAAACGAATTTTAGACGTTATTTCGCGTTTTAGATATCTGTTTTAATAAATTGTAATAGTTTAGACAAGATTTTGGAAAAATATCGATGTTTAAAAAAAATTCAACTGCAATTTTGAGGGGGGGGGGGGTTGTAGGTTGAGGTGTGACGTCATTTTAGGGGGGGGGGGTTTCTGGCTTTTTGTGACGACATGTGACGGAGGGGAGGGGGGAGGTAAAAATCGTCAAAAAAGCGTGACGTCATTTATGGATGACCCCTATATGCTAATGGTAAACTTAGTCTAATGCTAGTCATAGTATAATGTGGTGGTTAAACAGAATGCGACTAACAGATTCATTCTGCGAGCTACTCCCCCATCCCCCCTCCATTACATAATTACCCGTCAATTTTCCCCAAACTAATATTCACTAGAGCTGAATAATACATGAAAGTGCACTATGATTCTCGTTCGACCCCCCCCCCCCTTTTTTTTCCCCCAATAAAAGCAACAAAAAAAATTCCGGGGTGTTTTTGTATTTTAAAACCTGATGCGAAAATATTATGTCGCAATTAATTAGCAATAAAAATTCTGGTTTAGAAAACAGTTCACACGACTGATATGGCTTTAGAATTAAAATATTTTTTTTACCGCGAATATTTTTCTTTGGGTAACAGAAACCCTTGTTGCGCCACCACCAAGTAAACAAGACGCCATTGTTCACACAATTGTGACAGAAAAAAAATCATCGGATCACGGATCTATATTTGTACAGTAGCTTCTTCAGTCAACGACCAACTAAAACCAGCACAGGAGATCAATAAATATTGTCAGCTTTAAAACTCGGTGTTGTACATGCTGGTTTATGATTGATGATTTTACTTAGCTTTGTTTTAAATGCCGAAGTTTAGTCGACATTTTGCCTGATGATGTGTTAAGAATGTTTTTAACTCATGATTTGTTTGATGTTGTATCGGATGATATTTAACCAGATGATATTTTCGAAGATGATGTTGTACTTAATGATGATTTACCCGATGTTTCCTTGCTAAAGTTGTAACAGATGATGTTTCCTGCTAAAGTTGTAACTGATGATGTTGCTCTGATAATGTTTACCTGATGATATGTTATGGGTGTTTTACCTATGATGTTCTACATATAGGTTTTTCTCGTCTTTTTTTGTCAGGGATATTAATAGAAATTGACAATTACCCTCTAACCTACCATATCGTTTTTTACCTTGCTGAGTATTTCTTGGACAAAACAGATTACAGAGTCCATGGAAGGGGAAGGGGAGGGAGTGGTGTGTAGCTGACATGACCTGAAAAAAAATCAAATTACTGACTAGCAGTGTAAATAAAAATGCTAAATCTATACAATTAAAAGCAGGAGTGCCCTGCACACACTCCCAATTAAACCACTCCTGTTTATAATACAATTAAAGAGGGGGTGTATAATCGATTATTAGCTGTACAGAAAAAAAAACTACGTTGTCTTTACAGCGCCTCTAGTGAAAGAGTTTTGTTATTAACGAACTGAAGGAATATGGAGAAAGCTGTAGACTAATTGTAATCAAAATAATGCTCAGTGTCTTGTTTCGTATTAGACGTAATTTTACTTTCTTGTATACAAAATATAGAGAAAGTAATGTAATCGTGCAAAAAAAAAAAAAAAATCGAGATTTTTGCAAATCTCGACGTTTTACACCTCCCTGAGTCGGAAAAACACAGTTTTGCAATCTTGTCCGTATGTCTCTGTGTGTGTATGTATGTGTGTGTGTGTGTCTGTAAACACGATAACTTGAGTACCGTTACAACTCGGTTGATGAAATTTCGTATATAAGTATTATATCAAATTTGTAGATCCGTATCTTTTCAGCGATTTCCGATAACCGGAAGTGGAACTTTTTCTACTTTCAATTTTCAAAAGCCTATAACTTGACTACTATTTCAGATAGATAAATGAAATTTCACATGTAAGTACAATATCTCATTCTGTGCCTTCTGTCGAATTTTGAGTAGCTTCCATTGACTGGAAGTGCTACTTCCGATTTCTCAAAAAACGCATGTGAATTTATAAAGTACTAATAATATTCCGCACTATTATACACAGTTTATTTGGCGTTCACTTGGTGTGCAATTCTTTTTTTCTACGAGACTTCTATTTTTAAAAGTTTAAGTAATTAAAAATAGATTAAAAATATTGTCTGTATCCCGAATTGCCATCCCCCGTTGTGTTATATTAGAATATTCGAGAAAGTTCAGGGGAGATCACTCCAGATTTATTTAAACTCAGGATAATAACAAAATAGTGACTAACCTCCCTTGTCAAATATTTTTAAGCAGTTAATTATAGCTTAAATGTTTGGCTTTTCTGATTAAAACTGAATTGGCAGGGTTTGATAAGCTTCTGATGAAAAAAAAAACGTAATATATTTTTGAATAAGTTATGAGATTGGCGTTATGAGGTGGGAGAGCGCATAATTGCTAATTACAGAAGTTAACTCGTTATTTCAAAAAATTCCAAATTTTGTCCTCTTCTACCATGCAGATTGTTCTTGAGTGGACAATGGCAATGAAATCAAACCCTAAAAGAAAAGCAGGATGAAATTGGAGTCAAAGGCCCATAAGATGCATAGCATATTGACACATACGGGTGAATTATGTTGCATAAAATCACCGTCAATAGGTGTCCGGTAAAAAAACAACCAGGACATACACCTCCGTAACATGTTTTGTGTTAAATGGCTTGCACATAAAAATAAGTAAGCGCGTGAAAAGGGGCGATAATTCACTTTTTCACAAGCCTCAAAAAATTACAAAAGTGGCCTTTCTTATTTATTTTTCAATTTGATCCTTTAGTTTGCAAATACAACATACAAATTTGTAGTAATATAATTTACTTAGAGTTTATGCAGGCAAAATTATAAGCAGATTGTATACGTTTAAAATTAGTTGTATGAATTGCTCGTTTTTGATGAAACAAATAATTGAGTAAATGTTTTGTTTCATTCGTACATTAAGATACAATCCTTTTTTATTTAATGCATCTGAAAAGTACATTTTTCAAGACTAAAATAATAATTTTATGACAAGGCGACAGTTTTGAATGTTGGGGCCACTGCAAGGTTTTTGACTCCCCTCCCCCACCTCTCCTACCGTCATATTTGCTGTATTAGTTAAACAGCCTTTAGTAGCTGACATGTAAAAAACGTGTTTTTGTCAGAACTAGTAGTGGTTCAGTAATACTTAGTGGCGGGGTGGGGTAATGTGGTACAAGTAAAACTGGTTTAGATATCTCTCGAGAATTACTACACGCAATCCCATTGTGTCACCCAGACTATGGGGTCTGAGAAGATGTGAATGGTAACAGTAGTAGCTTTTCTGTGATTTACTCTTGTAACACCAGTATCAAAGTATCAAGTACTTGTCTCAACGTATCAAATACTAGTATCGAATATTAAAGTATCAAATACTGGTATCAAAGTATAAAATACTAGTATCAAAGTATCAAATACTAGTATCAAAGTATCAAATACTAGTATCAAAGTATCAAATACTAGTGTAAAAATACTAGTATCAAAGTATTAAAAACTAGTATCAAAGTATCAAATACTAGTATAAAAATACTAGTATCAAAGTATTAAATACTAGTATCAAAGTATCAAATACTAGTATAAAAATACTAGTGTCAAAATATTAAATATCAGTATCATCGTATCAAACACTAGTGTCAAAGCCATATCTGCTTCAAATTGTTAAAAATTCGTATTGCATCTTCTCCATTGTGACTGTAATTAATCTCTTGTGATCGACGACTTTAAAGTCATATCATGGCTTGTTTGGTGTTGAAGAAGTCAATTTAAATTGTCAATTTGAAATTCTTCATTTTACCTTTAGCTTAAGTCGCTTTTTATAGATAACTTTCTATCCAGGCCCAAGTACACGGCATTTTCCGGCAAAACGAAATGATGCCGGATTTGATCACGAAGCCTGTGCATGCTGCTGTCGTATTTACAGTCAGCCTCCGCCACCCGCCTGCTAATGTAGGCCCTCTGTGCTGCGGCTTTACGGGAGAACGGTTCTAGAACTGTCTGCTGATAAAATGGTCGCTTCATTTCCGGGTCGGGGAAAGTCCAAGGGTAAGGTACGACCGTGTTTCTCGACCATCGTGACGACAGAGGTGAGATGGGTAGAGAGTTGACAGTCGGATGATGATGGTAAGATGGTTGAAAGTTCGTTTCCGGGTTGACTTTTGTTGTTGACTGATCTGCAGTTGAATCGTGCTCGTTTTTGATTGGCCAAGATGACTTCCTGTCCAGACTTTGGCGGTTTCTTTCCGCGCAGCATGGGCAACGAAACGGGGCGTCCTGGCTTCTGTGAAAAGGCGTGGCCGTGCTTTGTTGGGCGTAGTTCAGGTATTCGTTCACCACCTCATCCACAGCGCTGAAACAAACAACAACAACATAATTAACATCGTTCGCTATCATGTTTGCATGTTTTGTTATTCGTGTTGTACGTTGTGTGAATGAAATAAAACTACTAACGCAATTTCATACTGAAAATTTGGTACATAATCCCCCCCCCCACCCGCCCTGAAGAAAGTCTACCGCTCCCCGAACGAAATGAAATTTCTATAGAAAATATATATGAAACAAGATGCTAAATCATTATAATCACGAAAAAAATCTATATATATATATATATATAATTCTCTTCTGGGAGCCGTTAGAAAACAAGCTGCAAGCGCCTCCTTGCAGTCCCCTCTCTTTCTCTCTATCACTATCACTACCACCCCCACCCCCACATTGTCTGCTGAGCTGTGTTCACGCTAAATGTTTACAAAGCTAAATGTTTACAAATCGTAGAGCCGTAGAGCCGGGTTTCTATTAGGGGCAGATAATTTAGTTCGATTTTAAACTTACAGGAGGTAACTAAGAAATAACTAAGAGGAGGCTGCTTTCACGGGGTGGGGGGGGGGGGGGGGGGTAGGGTCGGGTTAGGGGAAAGGGGCGGGGGGTAGTGTTTTGAAGCAAATATTTTCAGTGGCAGCATTGGTACTGTCGAATTCACAAATTATGAATTACTGAAAAGTAGAAAATAAAACAACTAAATAGCGGCGTATGATTCGCTGCGGGTCGGCTCGTATTAATAATTTTATCATTTGCACGCAACAATTTACGTCTACATTAAAAAAAAAAGATGTGGTAAACTCTAGGGAATAATATTGACCGCATTCCATAAAAATAATTCTACGAGCGACAAACCATTCCTGCTACATATTTGTTATGTATTTTAATGTCAAGCCAAACAGTTTTGTTTTTGTTTATACCCACAGTCTAACCAAGACAACAGCCTTTGACTTTTACCTCCCAACGTCACGCCCCTGAATTTTACTGTAAATAAATCTAGACGCCCCCTGGGGCGGTGAAAAACTGTCATCAAGACGCCGCTAGAGGGCGGTGGAGTCACTGCGGTCAGCGCCCTAACCTTCTCGTCTGGACCACTTGTTTAGAGAAGATGGGGTGGGTTATCTTCTCCTGTGTCCGCCCCTAGGTTTCAGGAGGTAAATATGTAAACAAACGTTGTCATGGAAACTATGTTCCCACTTGAACTAATTTTTTACAGGCTTCATTCTGTACTCACTAAGAATTCGTTGACGATTGTAAAATACCCAACAGTGCATCATAGTACACGACAAACAGAAATATGAAAACGAAAAAACTCACAAGAAAAAAACCCAAATAATAGTACCTTAAGTTGTCGACTTAAATTAAGAAATCAGAATAAAATTTTAAAACGTTGTGTATCGAGATTAACTTCTACATAAAAATAAAGTTAACAATATTTAAAAAGAAACAACCTTGAAAATGTCTGAACTTTTAAAAATGAGTTTTCTAAATTAGGAAACTACACTTTTCAATTTGAATTTAACGCTTTATAATTATCAAGGTCTAATCATCAATACTTTAAATATTACCAAGTGTCTTCTTAAACTCTAGAACACCAAAAATTAATTCCGCGAAACGAATCTAAACGTATCGGATTTGATTTCATTGACAGCTAAGACAGTCTCGTATTTATTTACCCTGATATTGACGATCAGAAAAAAAACACATTCCAGCCACTGCTGAAGTAACATCATTCATAACACCATTCATTCATGGTGACTTGCCTGAGCTTCCTGTTACTCTCCAGCGTCCGTCTCTTAGCAACCGCAGGCATCTCTTGGACCAGGATAGGTCTCCGGAAACCTGGACCTTTGACGAGTTTTGTACCCGCAGGGATCACCTGTACTGGGACTAGACCCGATACCTGCAGAAAAGAAAGTAGTTCCTTAAGGTTCAAGGGGAACAGTGTATTCCTACACCTTGATCTTAGTTGTTAGATAACCCTCCCAACTAGTCATTTAGTGTACAAAGGTAAATCATTTTAAGTGCAGGTGATTAGTATAAAAAGTGGTCCCATCTGTGGTCCCATCTGTGGTCCCATATACGATCCAATTTGTCAAAACTATTTTACTATCTGTGGTCCCATCTGGTATTAAAATGGGTGGTGCCGTATATCTGACCATTAGTGCGCACATTGTGGTCCCATCAGTTGATCTACATAATGAGCACACTGTGGTCCTATTAGTTGGTTCGCCTAGTGTAAACATCTGCAGCCCCACCGATAAACTAGAACCACATATCTACACTTCATTGAACCCCACCACCACCATCGCTAAATGGACCACAACAAAGGTACTACTTTCACGAACAAATAACTAAACCCACTTTAACCATTCAGTATAGATCAATGGTTCTAAACCTTTTTATAGAAACCGAACGCCCACCAGTTTAATATAGGCCTACACTTTCACCGAACCCTTCTTAAGAGTTGTACCGTCCGCACTAATAAAATCTGATCGTGAATCATTTAAGTCGGGTTTGTCTTGACCTCACCCAAACCCTGAGACTGACTCACCCCGAACCCTAGAGTTCGATCGCACCCAGGTAAAGAACCACTGGTTTAGACCAAATTTAGACTTACCTCTCTTATGGGGGAAAGAAATCGTATTAACCCTTTCTTTTGTTTTCTTCTGGTTGTTGAATCCATGTCGTGTAACTTAATATTTGACCTGTCTAAGAAAGTTTATTTTTTTTAATTTTTAGTTAGTTGGTAGGTGTCTAAAATAATTAGAAATAAAAAAAAAATGATGGTACATTTCAGTTTACGGTAAGAGGTACCAGGCTCATTATGCTCGTCTGCACATAGGTTAATCCCAATCCCTAATCTAACCCAACTCTAAACCTATCATAAAACATAGCAATGAACCTATCTTTGAACTTAACGTTGAACCTAACCTTGACCCCAAACCTAGTTCCATCCTTTACCTTTACAACTATACCATCAAGGAAAAAACAAGACTGGATTGAATATAACGTATTCAGTTTCTTCTAGGCATTTCTTGGTGAAAGGGGGGCGGGGGTTCAGTGTTAGTCCGCCCCCCCCCCCCCCCCAAGCCCCTCGGAGAAAAAAGCCTGTTAGACACTGAACGTATTACCTAAGAGTTTTAAAAATAATTCTAAAAACATATATTGGATTACAGAGGACTGTCCTTTTAACTGGATTACAGAGGACTGTCCTTTTAACCGGATTACAGAGGACTGTCCCTTTAACCAGAACACGAGAACCACCGTGCCTCCCCACCCACCAGCACAGACCCTCGGACCTTTCCCTGGCACCACGTGCTGGGCAGACGGCACCAACAGATCGTGTTGAGATCAGCCCTCGTCTGATTAGTGAACACAACACATGACTGTAAGGCTACATAACGTTACAGACATGATCGATTTTTTTTACAATCAGTGTATCGATTTGTGTGAGGACAAGTGGGTGGTATTGTTTCATGGTAGAGAGAGGGGTGGGGTGGGGGGGAGGGGGTCGTGATAAACATGTAGGTGTTATTTTTTCATGGGAGAAAAATATTGGGGGAGGGGGGGGATCGCAATGAACAGGTAGGTGGTATTGTTTCATTTGATGAACATTTGGGACGTCATGTTATACAATAGGATGTTATTGTTTCATGGGACAAATCAATTAGTAATCAGTAGATATTGTTTTAACCCATATTATCCCAAGGTCTCAAATTTTTATCATTTTTTGATATGGTTTAGCTTTTGGGCACTGAATGAAGGAATGACTATGGATTTTTTTTTAAAATCAATACTTTTTAAAATATCGATTTTTTAAAAAACGTCCCATAAATGGGACGCTAGCAACGAACGGCCCCATGTACATTTATTGAAAAATAAAATCATTTTTCACGAAATATGGTTAATCACGCAAAAATTAAGCTGTGTACTGATTTTGTATTGTTAGACCAATGATTTAATTGTTTAGGACAGCTAAAAATACTGATAATGATCAATTGGGTTAGCCATACCATGGTCTAAAATGCAGAAATTATGTTCAAAAGTCTAGTTTTCTTTCAATCTAGCATCCATCAAAGTGAACAACACTTGGAAATAAGTAAAGCTGTGACTAGTACATCTAATTATACACACATGATCACAAATATTGTTATTATTCATTGAAACTGTAATATAATTAAATATAAATAATTGATTTTTTTGGGGGGCGTACTTGAAATTTTCAGGGGTGGGGACTTAAATTTCAGGGGAAGGGTGGACATTGGTAAAAGTATGTTTTGTATATAAATTCCAATTTCTTCTGGGGGCAGAGCCACCCCCCCCCTCCTCCGAAATGATGCCTGAAAGAAACTCTGCCCTTAGTGAAAAAAGAGTGCAAAAGATGTTCCGGTCCAGTCCCAGATGTCATCCAGCCATCTTCTCTTTTGTTACCCTCGCTATCCCCCCCCCACAGGCGTACATTAGGACATCAGACATCTTATTTCTAGGGCACGGATCCGTCTCTGGGGGCTTGTATTGAGTGTTCATGGCTCTCATCCATGTATGCACCTCACTATGCGAACAGCTCCCAATCTCACACCAGGAATCTCCTTAAAAAGTTAACAAAGTAAAGCTGGTATCGGTAACCTTTGGAGGGGGATATTATTGGGGCATGACAACTGTACACAGCTAATTCACATTTCTGCTATATGTAGCTTAAGCCCTCTTATATGGAGAGAGTTAACCAACCCTCATGACTGAATCATTTCACCTAAATCGTGGCCATTGTTATTATTCTGGTTTGTTATAATTTTAATATCACGCGCTAGTAAATTTACAGCAATACTAAATTAGTTTGTATTCAATGGTATTAAATACTTCAGTAAGTGTAATTCTGAAAACTTAAAAATAAAATGTAATTTTTTCAATATTTGCAATTTTCTAATACAATAATATATAAGAAAATATAGCTCAAGGTCATAATTAAATATCTATAAATACTACTTAACACCCCAAAGTCAACAGTTAACAAAGTCAACAATTGTTTCACCATAAATAACCATTTAACATAAATATTTGCATCTGTGTTTCTCGCTAGTGTCCAATAAATGTGACGTTTGTGTAACAATCTGCATAAATTTAGGTCAAGGTCATAATTAAATATCTATACATACTACTTAACACCCCAAATTCAGCAGTTAACAAAGTCAACAATTGTTTCACCATAAATAACCATTTAACATAAACATTTGCATCTTTGTTTCTCGCTAGTGTCCAATAAATGTGACGTTTGTGTAACAATCTGCATAAATTTAGGTCAAGGTCATAATTAAATATCTATACATACTACTTAACACCCCAAATTCAGCAGTTAACAAAGTCAACAATTGTTTCACCATAAATAACCATTTAACATAAACATTTGCATCTGTGTTTCTCGCTAGTGTCCAATAAATGTGACGTTTGTGTAACAATCTACATGGGGCCATTCGTTGCTAGCGTCCCACTTATGGGACGCTTGTTGTACACTTGATATAACGAAGTAGTAAAAATAAATTGTTATTTTTAAATTTTTATCAGATAGAAATATGGTACTGCTACAAGTTTCAAATGTATTTTGCACTTAAAATGTTAATATTTTAGAAGATATGCATTATCCTGTGCGCATGTTTTCTTTTTTCCGCCATTTTGACAAGTCCTGCAAATCCGGCACTATAACATTTTTCTAAATTAATTTTTTTCACAAAACACACACAAATTCAATAGTTTAGCCATTTTCAAATACAATGAAACATAATTTGTGTTTTAACTAGTATTTAATAAATTTTAGCAATTTTTTTACCAAGCGTCCCATAAGTGGGACGCTAGCAGAATATGGGTTAATATATAAAGAGATAAAAAAAACAATGCTAATTATGACAAGCAGTTACACGATTTGATTGCGTGTTGTCTTTCTTTTAACAGAAAGCTATACGTTAACATAAAAGTTCTTTATCGTAAGATCAACAATGGAACAATAATATGTTTACATATAGATGCACATATTAATAATTTACACATGTATGTATGCTGGGATGGTTTCTACGAGAAAATGTATCAAGGATTTCAATTTTATTTTAGATATGATTTAAGATACAGCTACCTTAGGAATTTTTTTCATTAATTTTTAGTTTTCAAATATGCATTCTTTCAATTGTACTTAACAAAGCAAAAAAACTTTTTACACTGATTAAAAAAAAGCAGCCAAGAAATTAACAGCCACTTCAAAATCCAATTTAAAAAAAAATCTGAACACAGTTTTTTGTTTAAGGGTAGAGAAAGCAATACCGATAACTCGACGCTGGTAAAGAGATTCTATTTATCTTCACAAGTTCAATTAAATTACAGCAAAAAGATGATCGTTTTCCTGTTCAACAGACCGCATCCTTTGTCCTGTTTACATCCCGTTCGCTCATCGAACTGTGCACGATTGCACGCCGGCTGCAAACTACAACAACACCTACACCCCTTTCATCTTGTGCCTGTGATAACCGAGGCTAGACGAAAACCGTCGCACATCATGTGGATACGGCACATCACGACGACAATTTCACGTAAAAACCCGGAGAACGGTAGACGAGAGAGAAAATGATTGCGTATATATCTGAAGCGAGAAATGAAATTTCGGGGAATTTTAACGGTTTGGAATAGTTTGTAGAACTATTTTTTGTGTGTGAATGGAATAGTTTGTAGGAGTTGTTTGTGTGAATACCAAGAACCATAGGATGACTTTGGAGAATTGAACTTTCTTTGAGGGTCAAATATTTTATTTCTCGAATATATATATATATATATATATATATATATATATATATATATATATATATATATATATATAAATATATAGCCTATAAATAAATAAATAAATATATAGAGTCCTGC